GTAACTGATGATGAAGGCGTATCTGTAAGAGCAAAACTTAGATTGTCTTTGCAACCATCCATAATTTAGTTAGTTTTGAGAATGTAAGCGAAGAACTTGTTCAGATTTTTTCTGGAATACTTCACACAGAAAAGGCGAATCTGTTAGAAAGAACAAATCATACAAAAATTTGCCAAGGGGAAAAACTTGTCGATGTGTGACGTATTCTTAAGCAAAGCGCTGATTTACTTGACAGTCTACATTTCTTATTTCTGAATCGTGCATCGCAGATTAGCTGGGCTCCAAAGCTCCCGCTTTTTTCTCAGTTTTTGAAATTTTAAGAGTAATATGTGATGGAAAGTACATGTCTGTCTTGATGTGACTGGTGTAGACACATACATGGCTCTTTATCGCAGCTCAATTTGCTAACTCTAGGTGAAAGTATTCTTGCCGTGAAAAAGAGTGATCTAAAAGAGACCCTTCGTTTGATTCGACACTCTTCTTCCATCTCTGCGCAAGCAAAGAGGGACCATACGAGACTCACACTTGAGGTTTGTGTCACATCTGATTTGTCAAATCGCAATTGTCCACATCTTGCAATTCAGTGCATTTGTGATGGCCTAGCTAGTAATACGGACGAGTTGGAAGAAGTTTCGCGCAATGCTCTTTTCAAACCCTTGAAAAGTACAGAGGAAACCATATGTGACCTGGTCAAAAATCGTTTCCTCACAATGGAGGAAGAAAGTGATAATAGCCAGAAATGTAAGTATCATCTGCTGTCTCATTCCGCTCATGCAAACAACTGTACAAGGCAGATTTCAGCCTCTGCGTTAGCACCTACTCAACTTGGGCAAGCTACTTTGGCGTCCGCTCTACCTCCAGATGCAGCCCTTTTCGTGTTTGCTGATCTTCAACAAGCCACCAGAGCTGTAGCATTGGATACGGAACTCCATATGCTTTACCTGGTAAGAGGATGGAGAGTTGTTAAATGTCAGTAAACATATGAGTTATTACAGGTTACACCTACTAACTGCTCTATCTGGCAAGGATGCGACTGGAATCATCTTCACTCTATCTTCTCAAAACTACAAAATGAAGAGAAGAGAGTTGCGAAACTGGTTAGTAGGCAGAGTTTAAGCATTCTCCAGTTACGCAAAATTGGTACGAAGTTTTGCAAAGCAAATGTGCGTCTATTCTTCGTCACAGGTGGGGGCAAGTGATCGCTTCCTTCTCTCTCGCCTCCGAGGTACAAGCACTTCTAGCTCTGATCGCAGCTATCAGGTAAGAATTATGTCCAGCACCGGCTGTCATGAGAATTATCTATTCAGCTTCATTTGCGCTTCTTCTCAGCACTGGCACTCTACGAAGTCGTTAACGAAAAACCAATTGATGAGGTAGCCCGACGTTTCAGAATTAGCCGTGGAACGCTTCAGACATTGCAACAACAAAGCGCGACCTATGCAGGTAACTTCAAATGTTTTTTTTTGGTTGTTCTGTAGTCGAGAAAACAAGAATCTGCTTCTA